AGCAGGACTAGAGGAAATGGCCACCACAATTCCTTCATTTCCTCTCAACAAGATGGGCCACTTTGGAAACATATCTACTGAAGTTATGGAAGGAGGCAGTAAACGGAATGAAAACCATGTGGGTCTGTCCAAGATTTTATTATTTTCAGGTAAGTTCACTGCCAAATATCAAGGAAATGTCCTAACCTAATGACTATTCACAAGAGCAAGAACAGTCACTATTTTATWCCTTCCCAAGGTCCCATAAGCAGTGATCAGTGCAGAAGGCTCTTAATCAAGTTTTAAATGTCTTGTAATCAGGAAGCACCAAGTAGAATGTGCCAAGCTGCCAGCAACACCCTAGAACCTGGCCTAGGAGACAYAGCCCAGACATGGACAGCACTGGTCTGGATTCAGATGTGCTCCTGCTATGTGGCTGCATCAATTATTAAACTGCCCAGCTGGGTCTGCAGAAGAAACACCAGGTCCAAGACATCTATGGGCTTCCCAAAGACCTCTGCAATGCTCCGAACCAGTCACGAGAGCAATTGTGTGGCTTCAAGTGTTGGGTCTTGGCCCAAAGTACTGGTTTGCACTGGTGAGGCAATTTGCAAGACATCATCAGCTCCACAGGTACTCAGAGAATCCAACCAGGYCCTCTGGGAGAAAAAAACTGCAAAGAAATAGCTTGAGCATAAACAGAGCAGCACAAACATCCTGATCCTCTGACTAGTCAAGAAGTGGACTGAGGTTCCTCCACTCGTTAGCTGTGGATCTCAGAAGAGCTTGGGATTTGCTGAACGMACATCTGAGCTGCGCTGTCAGAGAGGCAGCTCCTGTTTTTAAGCTGTGAATGTCCTCCTCTCATTCCCCTTCATTTGTCAGGTCTACAGCTCAGAAGGGCAATACCAAAAATCAAGCCCTTCTGATCCCTCCAAAACCCAAGGCATGATCAAATGGCGAAGGCCACAAAAATATGATTTTCTAACTAGTTTTAGACAACTCAGGCCTAAGCTTCCAAGGTAAATATTTGTCCTTAGAAGTATGTAGCTTGCTTCCCATGCATGTCCTGCCAAACTTTTCTCCAGCCAGGACGCTCGGGACTGAGGAGACTGAAACATTCATGAGCAAAGGACACACTCAGAGAGACGGCTAACGGTCAACAATAGTATTGCAAAAACACAGGATTCAACCAGAAGCACATACACGCTGCCACCTGGAAACACTCTTAAAATCACCCTGCTGAAAAAAGGGTGATCCACACAAATGACCCCACGAGCCTTTCATATTAACRGAGAGTACACAGGAGCCACGTGAGCAAAGAAAGGTAAAATCCAAGCAATACGGCAAGGCCAAGTRAAGTCAAATTAAAGGGAAGAGCTTGCAACGGCTAGCAGAGAACGTGCTGCTCTGGAGAGAATCAAAGTCATCTTGCTACCTCTGTGACCACATGGTAGCAAAGGAGCTGCAGCACCCCATGAAATGCCAGCATCTCATCTGAAGCACCTCAGCTCCTCACAGGGTTACCCAGCTCCTGGTGCTGGCAGTAAAGGCAATGCTGTGAAAGCCACCTCTGCTTGGGCTCCTGCTACACTGTTCAAGTGGCCCAGAAGAGCCAACTCAGCCATACTCCGCACCCTTGAGTGGAGTCAGAGGGTGATGGGGTGCCCCTAGGGATACTTACACGATGGCACTCACTCCACGGCAGTATCGCTCCCACATGCTGCGAAAACGAGGCTGGCCACCAATGTCCCAGAGCTGTGATGAGGAGAATGAGGTTTTAAACACTCTTCTGCCCTTCAGGACAGGGAAACTTCTCACTACTCACCCACTTTCCTATTTGCATTCAGCCTTTAACCCTTCCCAAAGTGGCTGACTGGCCTAACAGAGCATCTCGCAGATACACAAATGAAACATCCTCTCCTCCTTGACTTTAAATCCAATGATGAGGCTTCAAACTCAACAGGGAAGCAAGAAATCCCTACACTTGCATCTAGAGAACATTAATGGAGAAGCAGACAGGTCAACTTCATGCTGGCACTTTCTGCAACTCATCTGCATGAGACAAGGCCTCCCACTAGCTAGGAGGGAATCTCAGCCCATCCATTTGCCTATTCTTCCAAGGATGGAAGAAGAGAAAGCAGAGGGGGACCCCAGAGGCCAATTGGCATGGACTGTGCATGCTGTGTTAGCGACATGCTCATTACATTGCACAGCCCTTTGCTCTTCTCCCAAAGGACTCCCGGGGGAATAGCTTAGTGAACTACACACTTGGAGAAGAACCATGCCAGAATCCAGCAGGAGAGTCCACAAATGCCAGGAGAGTCCAATCAAATGCCAGTTTGATTGGAGCTATCCAGACTTTTGAGCTCAGTGGACACTGCTTTCTGCAAACTTAAGAGCAGCCTTAGGAACTTAGGAACAGCTTAAGACAGCCCCTAAAGTCTGGCAAGATTTTTCCCTGTGCTAAGTATCTGAGGAACCCGGAGGAATTGGCCTTTTGCTAATGCATTTTTTATTTCAAAACTCAGAATATGCTCTTTGAGATGCTTCTGAGGCAAGCAAACCTGACCACCTTTGGAAGTCGAAGCAATAGGAGATTGTCTAACCCACAATTAGTTAGTTCCCAGCTCAATCTGATACCCTGAGAAGACACCAAATGGGCAAAGATATCCTCTTACTATACTCCCAAGACAGAGACCAACATTGCTAGCTGTGAACTGCTCCTCCATCCATGAGTTTCCCTTGAACCCATCTTTTACCCTAAAAGCCCCCAATGTAGATGTCTCCTGCACCTTACCTTTATGGTAACGTTCCCCTTGGTGATCTTCCTCATATTAAAGCCCACTGTTGGGATCATGTCTTCATTGAACTGTCCTGACTGCAAGGGAGAAATCAGACAGTCAGATGTGTCGGGGAACAACAAAATAAGGCATTAAGTGCTGATACCCTGGCCAGAAATCAACCCAAATGCTCTGCCAGCTCTGTCCTGCAACAGGCACTGAGCGACCCTACCCTTGTCCACACCAGAAGCAAAAACAGTGCAAAGGAGACAAAATTTCTTTCTATAGGAGAAAAATATTTCCTCTATGTCACGTACTGAGCATTGCCTGCTTTGCAGGAGAAGACTAAAATCTTTACTTAATATAAAGAAAATGCAAATGTCCCAGCGAGCCAGCAAAATCCCAGCAGTTGCTATGCCTGAACGTCTTCCACCAAATCCCACTGTGGCTCTTCCCTGCACAAACTCCCCGAGCCCCCTGCTACAGCCCTCCGCTTTGCCTCCAAGCAATGCAGCTAAAAAAATGCGAGAGCTTCTTCACCAAAATCCTGCTCTTGGCCTGCAAGCAGAATGGGAGGTTTCCACAGCAGTGCTGTGCTGCAGCAGAGCTCACCCTGCAACTCCAAGCAGGCTATTCTGCTATCAGTTTTGCAAAAACGTTGAGTTAGAAACCCAAGCACGGCTTCCATGATCCATGCTGGTATTATTGGAAGATGTTTCTGTTTGGCCARGACTCAGGTCTTCTTCAGCCACAAGCCCTGGGTGCCTCAATGTATTTTCTGCTTTGGATAATTTAGGGTCCAGCTTACAAAACAGTGACTTCTGCTTTGTCATATCTCTCAACATGTCTGTCCAGGTCTTTTACACTTCACATTGTCCATACAAGAGATGCAGGTAGGAGAATTAAATTAGTTGCCCAGGCTAAAATGTGGAGCCTTTCCCACCTGGGTCCTGGGTCTTAGGGTTTTCAGATGCTTCCCACCCATATGAAAGTGCCCTTGATGTGAGTACAATAGGGACACGGCCCTGAGTATGGTCTTTCTGCCCTCAAATCCTCACTAATGATGACCTGTGTGGGTCACATCACGCGCTTGCCACCAGCAGTGAGAACGGGTAACCCAGTGAGACGCAGGACTCCGTCTCTCCCCACAGACACAGCTTTCTCTTTGCTGCTAAGATTTCTTCTCCTCCCCAAACCTTCCCTCGGGGAGGGCAGGACARTCCCCACGGCTGGCTCTGATGCTCTCAGAAGTGTGTCAGGCAGAAGCATGAAATCACTACAGATTTCCAGCACTGAAACGCTGCTGCAAAACTAGGTTAGTCTTGTCAAAGCCAGTGAGCAGGAGTCCTCCCCTCTGCTGCCTTAGGAGAGATCCTGGCTCTTCGGGTCACGTGCCTAGTGCTAGAGCCAAAAGGAGAGGATGCTGCTCTCCTTTTAAAGCCTATCTGTTCTTCTAGAGTTTTCCAGTCAAGCCTCAAAGCTGTGAGAAGACCTGCAGGCATCAGCAGCCAGGTTAACTGACATAGCACAGGCAGGGCCATATCTCTGGGCACCTAAACACCCAAGGCATCCCAGGTGGAGGAGAGGAGCATCCAAATCCAAKTGACACGTCTGTCCCCAGAGGGGACAGCTCACTGCTCAGAAACACAACCACCCAGAGTGATCGGTGTAGACTCCAGCCATGTCACAAGCRTGACATTTATGTCATCAGCACCAGAAATCCAGCGCTAATGTGTTTTATTCAAGTGGACGGTTTGTGGATCTTATTGCTACGGGATGTCAGGAAAACAAAGGAAAGACTTCCTTGGAACAGCAGAGGTGATCCTCCTCAAGGAGAGGGCTTGGACTAGAGGATCTCCAGAGGTCACCTCCAAACTCCAATCACTTTCTGTGATTTTGTGAGACTAGATTTCTTTGACCAAAAAATGATCTAATCAGTATTTCCAAAACAAGGGAAGATCACAAGCCCCAGGCTTCCTTTAAATTCCGTCAACAGCAAACGACCATACCACGTTCTAAGCAGCAGAAAGAAAATACGCTCAGATGAGGACAGGCTTTTTCAGCCCAACTTGCTAAGCTGTTGTTAAGGAGGCAGAAATCAGGGGCTCCAGGTGGAAGCTTTTTCATCCCGGTGAATTACTTTAATTCTAAATCAAACCAAGCCTGGTTCACAAATGTCCCAAGGCAGCTTCCAGCAGGGAGATCTGTTCGTGGAATCCCCCCTAAAAACAACGACACGCATGATGAAACCTTAGAGCCTGAGATGTAATTTTAAAGAGCTCCGAGAGCAGAGCAACCTTCCCTCTATCTCCCAGGGCGAGAGAAAAGGCAACACAGCAGCTTTTGGCCACCAAATGTCAGAAACGAGCAGAAACAACCGCACGTGGCATAACGCACCCCATCTACCCTTCCTGGGATTTAAGGGCATAAAAATAGTGTTTTGCTAGAGATTTTTCCAGGCTTTCTTACAGTTAAGCAGTACTAGTTATGCCCTTCTCTGATAAGAATTYAGTGTCTTCAGTCATCAAGTTTTCTAGATGCACCACCTCAGCAAGTCTGCAGGGGCTTCCTAGCTTTTTCCAAAGGTTCTGCAAATWCACGGCGCTTCCCTTTTTCAGTTCTCTTTTGCACTCAAGAAGCAAGGCCCGGCCATTGAACAAGGTCTCAAAGTCAAGACTCAAAAAGCACTTCTAGAATGAGCAACTGGGGAAGAGTAGGGCAGAGGAATTCCTTTAACACTGTTGGAGATTAGGGGGATGACTCCCACATATTGACTCTCACAGGAGAAATTCCTCCGGAAGGCACAAAAATCCTTGGAAGAAAGATCAGCTTTGGTGCTAGAACAGCCAGACCAGCTSATGACTGCTCTTGACAATGGAGAAGCACACCTGGACATATCTGCAAGCAGATACAGAGCAAGGAGAACCAGGAAACACTTTTGACACCCCCAATGATTGGCGAGCTCTCCATTACCATGCTATGCTCTGTGCTTGTAGACAGCCTACAGATCCAGACTTTCCTCTGCAGGTACAGAGGTCTGCAGTCTGCAGTTCGCCTTGTCTCTGTGGTATGCAAGTGGAACATTTAGCTCAGTTTTGGTCCTGTCCTCCACAATAGGTATAGACGTGCACCACCTTTCATCTGCCAGTTCAATGAAAATCCTCTCTCCGCGAACTACATCACAGAAAACACAGAGCAGTGATAGAAAACAGTGGTACCTTTCTCTGTTAAATCCTTTTTGGTGGATCTAGAAGCACTGCACACTGCCTCCACGGAATACCCATAGTCATGCATCCATCCTACCATAATGAAAAGGTGGACCAGAGCACTAACACTAGCAGTCCATCTCCTGTGAGCACGCAGGGCACCCAGGGCACAGTTCAGAGGCACAACAAACCCCACAGTTTGATATAAATGGTGGGCAGACACATTCGCACCTATGTCTCCCACAGCCACCAGGATCAGGAATGATGCAGGACAAGACTCGTACAAAGAAGCAAGTTCTACCCTGCACACCACATTTGCCAGCTGCTTTTGGAGAGCAACACACAGAACTGTCTAGACCATCTCACTCAAGCCAAGGTAGCCAGGACCTGCTCTTGTCCTACGTCCAGGGAGCTGGTACCTCATCTTCAGAGGGGATTTGGTTGCTTTCATGTGATCTGTTCTTGACAAATCCGGCATCTTCTGCTTGTCAAAACTGCACTCAGAAGCAAGCTAGAGAAAGTCCTGATCAGCTCATTTCCTGCCAAGAGATAGCAGTCACCCCCACTGCAGCGTAACTAAGAAATGAATGAAAATAAAGTAAAATAAAGTAAAGTAAAGTGAAATAAAATAAAATAAAATAAAATAAAATAAAATAAAATAAAATAAAATAAAATAAAATAAAATAAAATAAAATAAAATAAAATAAAAAAAGGCTGGCTCAGTAACCTGAAGCACATACCTACAAGAAAAACTTGGGTGTATTTGAAAGCAATGCTAGGACCTCATGTGACAACAATTACAATTACTAGCYRCTAAACACCTCTACTGGCCAAGAGGCTAGCAGAGGTCTGGCTTTGCATCGTCTCGCAGTTTGATCACTGTAATTCAGTATCACTGGCCCAAAGCACTTTGGAAACTGCATACAGGGCAACCAGCTCATCGTGCTGCCCTGCGACACAAGCTGCTACCACCCAAAACTGCACTGTGTCACACTCACCAGTGCCTMCAAGTTAGGTCTTTATACTAAAGGWACTCAGATCCCAGGGCAAACCAACAGATTGTACCAGTCAATATCTCTGCTGGTCCAGAAGTCCGTGTGAAAGGCCGAGATGATCAATACTGCTGGTAAGCYCACAGATGCCACCAAAACAGTCTGCACTCCAAGACAAATTTTTCCTGCTCCTTGCAACGCAGCTAATGGCTTTTCGCACTATTCAAGATAAAGAACAGGGTAGCACTGAAGCTCTGTTTCTTTCGGGAAAATGACGATTCTCTGACAAAAGAAAATTCTTGGTTTGGTTTTGTTTCTCCATTTACGGGCACAGTGGCCACAGTTCACCAAGGATCCCAGTGCTGAAGCTGCACCAAACTTCTCTGGTCCATCATCCTAAAACAAAAACTTGCTTGTGGAGCCTCTCTGTGCAGAAACCCTGCTTACAGCAGAAGAAATGCAGCAAGCAGGAGAGATCCTTSCAGACCTCTTGGCCTGAGAATGCACATTTGCTCAAGCCTCAGTGCAGCAGGTGAAAGGGTATGGAAGGATCGCTGTGTGGTGTGGTCAGAGCAGCTTTGCAACCACGCTTACTCCACAACCTCATCTGAAAGCAGACATTCTCCCAAACAACCCCAGGACAGCAAGGTGGAAAGAGCATCTGATCTCTGTAGGGAAAAAAAAAAACCCAAAAGAGCTGAAAAACTATAAACTGCGCTTAAAATTACAACAGTGCAGGGCAACCACTGTGTCTGGAACTATAGAAAACATCTATTTCCTACCAGCTACTTGCTTTACCTTTGGGAGTATATCATGTGCTTCAAAAAGCTAAAATTGAAATTCAACAAAACTTTTACTTTCTGCAAGGCTGTAAAGATGAGACCAAAGCAAATATTTAAGCAGTACCCATAGAAACCGACTCTCCCACCTGCTGGAAGCTGCTGAGAAGTCGAGTCAATGAGGAGGAAAAAAACCTGCATCATGTCAATAGTCAAAAAGCACGCGTAACGAAGCCTGCAGGCAGACTCATGTTGGCACATCGGCCATGTTTAGAGGAAAAGAGGACTGTATTCGACTTTTTGCACTGGCAAAAACCCAAAAACAACAAAAATGGGAAGCAAGCAGTGGSCTGAGTAAGCAGGAGGTGAACAGGCTGCCCAGCAATACGGCAGAGCTCGCTTCAGCGTTAAGTTTCTTCCTTCTCTTGCAGTCCCAGGCTCTGTCTCAGGCTTCGTAGCAGTCATGCAAAAGTCCTTTACGGACGTGGATGAGAAGCACGTGTCGGCTCGAGACTTTCTGAACTGGGCAGCTGTGAAAGGAAACTTTTGTGCGTATGTAGGTGAAAGGATCTCAAGAGTTCAGCAAGCAGAGGCAGTGGAGGCAAAAGAAAAAGATAGGGAAAAGGAAAAACCCCTCATAGTGCTGGAGCTAATACACTTTTCCTGCTGGAGCTAGGGAAATTCAGCAAATTACTCCTTAGCCCTATCTCATCCTGATCCTCAGTTCACTTGATGCCCATTTGCAGGAGAAATGTCCCACACATGCCCGAAGTTCAACGTTGCCTATATAGAAATTTACCTGCAAATGGATTTTTAATGCATTCCACTAACAGAGCCTGTGTCTACACATTAAACCAGCCAGGCACAGATGCCGGGTTTTGCGGTTCATGTGTTGCCTGACAGCTCGTTTACAAAGACCAATGTGTCTTGAGGCAGTTGTCCATCACTCAAAATCCTAAAACTTTCCGCAAAGTACAGGAGGAAGCAAAGTCAGCTACCCACAACGTCTTCCCAGGTAGCGCATGGCTTTACCATGGGACAAGAAAGCAAGAGTACAAAGAAAGAGGTAAAGGAGATGTGGTGACACATCCCGTATGTGAGATCTCAGGCAGAAGAAGCCAGAGCAGAGACCGGGAGTCACTGCAAGGGCCACACGGAGAGAAAAAGCACCCCCTGAACTTGCTGTACTCCAGAGTCCTCAGCTCTCTGAAGCTGGGTGCATCTTTGAGGCTGGCCCTGCACTGTGAGATAGGATCAAAGACCTAAATTATTCTTAATTCATGCTGCTCTTCAACTTTGTACCACACTGAAGCTATTCATGTTTACATTCTTGCTGGTGCTTCCTCTTAAGCCTTGGCTCTTTAATTAAAAATATACAGTTACAACACTCTTTAATTAGCAGGACTTCACTACATCCAGGCCTTGGTTTTTGCCAAGGGGAAAAAATTCAAGGACTGTGGTCATTTGTCGGAATTTTCTGGACATCCTGTTGCTCACACAGCCACCCTGTTCTCACACAGYGAATGGGACTCACTCGCATAGATGTCTCGCTCGCCGCCCAGCCTCTACATGTGTTTTTCCCTTGGGAAACTGAGGCCAGATACACCACAGCCCCAAAATACATCACGTGGCCTCACGGTGCTTGGCGTCACACCAGAACCAGAGCCAGGTGCCACAGGAGTCACCCCACCAGCCTCAACGTCCAGGGCAGAAGCACAGAGTAATCCAAGCGGCTTTACCCGTACCCAACAATGTGGATTTTGGGCTTCTCGACAAATGAAGAAGAGATGGTACACAGCAAGAAGAGGAGAAGTCTGGCTTCTATTTGTATTCAGTCACTGCCTGTCTTGGCAGTGGTAAATCACTTCAAATCTGCTTAAATTTCTGCTCTGGATAATGAGGCGTGTGCTTAGGAGTCCCAGGAAATTGCACCGCCCGTGTTCTTGTGGGTCACACTGGAAGGGTTTGCTATTCCCCCTACTATTCCCCTGCCAGCAACATCTTCTGTTCTAGAAGAATGAAGACATCCCCCAAACCCACCACTCTCCAGCTTATGGAGCTAAGGGACGAAAGGAGTTGTCAGATGCCCCAGACTCTGTACCAAGAATCAGAGCAATTATTCACTGTAACAGCCCTCATCCCTCTCCCACCTGCACCATGGCCTTGCCAGGGCTCCAGCCAAGGGCTGTTTCTGGCAGGTCCAGAGGTACTGGAAGACACAGACGTCAAGCAGACCATGCTTGGCACAGCCCTGTCCCTCTTGGGGCATGGGGATGCAGAAAAAGAGAATTAAACATGCAGACAGAAGGGATGAAGTAGCACCCATGAGGACTGTTACTTACTGGATGTGGTGGCTCTGAACTGTTGGGGTCCCAGACCTGCAAAGCTCTGCATTACCCACCTTTGATGCGGCTTAGTTTGCTAGAAGAAAGAGCACTGGATCTGACAGCTGACAGCACAATGGCTCAGGATGAGGAAAGGCTGAAGTTAGAGGCCAGCAGGGGCATTTCAGGCCTTCCTCCCTCTGCCACAAGGCTCTTCAGGAAGGTCAAGATGCAAGAACTGGGTGCCTTCGTTTTTCATTTCTGCACCACTCAGCGTAACGGGAAAACCTCCTCACTGAAGGCAGCTGCAGAGTGCTAAAATCTCCACAGGAACTGCAAAAATCACCTTTGACAGCACAGCAGCCTGCAGGGCCTTGAGTGAGCAGGAAGAACACACTTGGCTTTGGAGCTGAGCCACCAGAGCAAAGCACCATGCAAGGAAAACACAAGAGGGACCACGAGGGAGGTAGAGAGGCAGGCTGGAGAACTGGAAGAACCAGGCAGCCTCATCCGCATCGGCTTCTCTCCATGAAATCCCAGAGGGCAACAACCCAAACCTGCACTGTGATGAAGACCTGCCTATCTGGGACTTCATCTTGCCAGCAAGCCGCTCCCCCCACGAAGCATGACATCTGCAAGAAGTGCAAAGAATCAAGTTGGAGCCCCAAAAAAGGAGTGAGCAAGACTTCACAGAGCATCCCAAGAGCAGCTCTGCARGCAGAACAACTCCAAAGGCTTGACGTCCACAGCTCAGCACCCCTCAAATGCTGACTTTGCTGTTGGCAAGGACCACCTGAACAGTTCCAGGGGGCACGGGGAGGTGTGGGCCCTGCTGACGAGGTAGCCCAGCCAAGTGCTGTTTCACACGGGAAGAGAGAAGCTGGGAAAGGTTGGCCTGAAATTTCCACCCCATGAGGATGCACTCAAAAATGGTCATCACAGTCCTACCCTGCTGCAAGCAGCCAGCGCATCCTGGGTCATCCCAGGCCACGAAGCCAAGGGGCCACCGTGTAGTTTCACAGCACATCTCGCCACTGTAAGAGCAACTTGATCCCCCCTCCTGATGCTCCTACACAGGCGCTGGGACTGACCCYTGCCATCAAAAGCCACTTTTTGTGAGGGTTCATCAGGGAAACACAGGCACTCCAGCAACAGAATAAAAATATTATGTAATGACCAGCAGGAACCGACAAGATCCCAAAGCCTCCCCGCTGCTCCGAGCGGTACCTGCGCCGGGATGAGCTGCATCCCGCGCGCCGCCGCAGCGCGATGCTCTGCAGAGCCCTTCCCTGCCGGAGCATCCGCCGCGGGACCACACCCAGCAGGGCCCGGGCAGCCCCCGAGGCACAAGCCGCCCAACCGGAGGGTCGTGGGGCACCGGGGTGGAGGGGACACCCAAGCCCCCAGCACCTCAGGCTCAGCACTCRGCCTGCCGTAAGCTAGCGCAATGACAAAGCACCTCTCCCAAAGAAGACCCCAGAAGTTTCCATCCAACTCCTACCACGGCTACAGCTCCGGGACACAAAAACAAGCAAAACCAGGCAGCTAAAATGAGATAGAGAGCTGCCTGACTCCAAAACACCTGCAGTTCCCCGACTGCCAAAGTGCCACCAGCGCCACAATGCAGCATCCCTCAATCCCGGACGGCTATTTCCTGCTCCAGCCGCGGCCCAGGCTGCAGCAGGGATTTCTGTGCACAGCGAGCAGAAATGCGAGAGGGAAATAAAGCGCCCGCCCGGGGACCACCCCCCCGCCCCGGCCAGCTTCTTCTTGCAAAACGAAAGGACCCGGGCTGTGCATGCCAGCACCCCCTAACCCCGGGCACCCCAGGGTGTCCAGTCCCGGCTGCGCTGCTCCCAGCCTGCGGAAGCAGCAGGGAGGAAGGAAAAGGACGCGGCCCCATCGCACCCGGGAGGCGGCGAGCACGGACGCCAGCCAGGCCTGGGCCGCTCGCGGCAGCCGATGGGGACCATCCCATGGGGACCGGGGGCACCTGATGGGCACCGCAGGCACGAGGGAAGGGTCAGGGCCTGGCRCCTTCCATGCGAGCTCGCCCTCTCCCCACCCAGCTCCACATGTGCAAGCAAGCGCTTTCTTCTCCTCCCCAAAATGAGCGCAACGGAGCCATTTCTGCACGTTGCATGGGAGGGGACAGGCGGGCGCCGCGGCCTTGCTGCCTGGCCTGGGGATTTGCTCCAGGGTGGGGRAAGGACGCAGCTTTGGGGCTTCTGAGGGCCGCGGGGAGGACGGGCTGCACCCTGCCCCTGCACTCTGCCCCATCGCAGCCCCTCCGCGCCGGGGGTGCCATTTCCGGGGGGCAATCATGGGGGTGCAATCAATTAAGGCTTGCATCAATTAAGGGTTGCAATTACGGCGGTGCGATCAGCACCGAGGGGTGCAATCATGACGGGGGGGGGTGCAAGCAGTTTCCGGGTTGCAGCCACAGGGGCTGCAACGACGGTGGGGGGGGAGAGGGGGCGGCAATCAACCCCGGGGAGTGCAATCAAGTACGGGGGTGCAAACACGGCCGTGCAATGTCCCCCCCCCGCACCGATGGGCCCGGGCGCCGCAGGCCGGGCGGGGGTCTGGGTGCACGGCGGATTGGGGGTGCTGGGCGGTAGAGGGGTGCCCTTACGGCGCCGCTCACCGCGATCACGTTGACGAAGGTGGTCTTGCCCGAGTACTGCAGCCCCACGAGCGTGAGCTCCATCTCCTCCTTCCAGAAGAGCGCGCGGAACCAGTCGAGCAGCTTGTTGAAGAGCGCCAGCATGGTGCCGGTGCTGGTGCCGGTGCCGGTGCTGGTGCCGGTGTCGGTGCCGGTGCCGGTGCCGCCGAGCGGGTATTGTCCTCACGCCGCCGCCGCCGCCGCCCGCTCCG